AAAAAAAACTGAAATACGTTACTGTTAAGTTCCACCTTTTTGCGTGGGACTATTTTATTTTTTGTGAATTGTCTCCTTGAACTTGGTCAAAGTTTCAATTAGTTCTTGTTCTAGGTATGTCAAACACTCTTTAAAAAAGTATACTTCCCTTCTCTTCCATTCTGTTCTTCTCACCAAATGGGGCCGTAATGTGTTTGAGAAAATTTTACCGACAATAAGTATAAAAAACAACATGCCAGGAATTTGCATTCTTTTAGAAATATTTTCAGCAAATGTAAACTCCCTTTCATGGCGGTGATCCATCATGTCAACATTTTCGATTAAGCGATTATCATCATCAATTGAACAAATTTCATCATCTCTTGACAAGAATTTATCATCGATTGAGGCAGTTTCATCTTCATACATATCATTTATATGATCAAAATCGTTGGGGAACCACAAATCCATTATTGGATTGTTATGGAATAAAAAGAAATCTATAGATTTTAGGAAAACTTTGAATGGAAGATATGTTTTGTAAATGTTTCTTACTAGTGATAATATAAGCTTGAAATTTGCCTGATGATTGAACGTTTCATAAATGTTCGATGATACACGATTGATGATTGAATGTTTCATCAATGTTTGTTAATATTAATATTAACTGCATTGTAATTATACGAGGTTACCATTGAAAGAGCCATTAAATATGATTAGCCAATCCGAAAATGCTATTATTAATGTAAAATCATATAATTTTTTATTTAAATTAAATATATATATTTATTGACTGAAATTTGTCTCATGTTCTCACTTTAAAAAAAAGTTTTCACCTGAATTTAATTCTCTCTCTCTCTCACTCTCCCTATATATATATATATATATATATATATATATATATATATATATATATATATATATATATATATATATATATATATATATATAATTTTCCGATTTCTTACCATTACCAAAAACCAACCAATACGAATTGGAGAAAGAGTGCAACACCTGGATCCCCCACATCTTTCCCACACCACCTTTCCCACAGTCCTGGTGTGGTGTCCTGGTATGCGGGAAAGCTTCTCTCACCTCCCTCCCGCTACACTCTATCAAGTCTTAACAACGTTTTATTATTTTATTATCAGGCGTAATGTATTGGTGTACTGTTTTCAATAGCAATTTTTGTTCTTGCTTCAATTAGACGGGAATTAACCCGATAGTTTCAATTGTTTTCATCTTCCTAAATTCTAGGTCATCCCCTACTATTTCCATATCGTCTTCCCAAAACATTAATGCGAGCGAGTCATGAAAAACAATTACTCTATCGGCGACACTTCGTTTTCCCAAAGGTGCGATTTGCTTAGATCCTGATGACAGAACTAACTTCATGCCTTCAAACGACTCAACTTTCTCTGTTTTATCACTTCTCTAATTCATTAATACATTGACGATTAGCAAATGTTTGCAAATCATAAACGCTTTTCATGCTTGAAATGGAACATTGACTTGTTGATCAACACTTCACTCATATTCACGACATATTCTTGTTAGTGAGTCGATATAGAGAACACTCTTGGACTGTAAACACCCATAAATGGGGTTTTGAAGCCCCAAAACACTCCCAAATCACTCCTAGTGCTTAGCTATGACTTAGGGACTTGCATGTATGAGCTTAGAACCCCAAAATCATATCATATGGAGAGTAAACATGAGTTTACGGCCCAAGAACACTCTTGGACTGTAAACCCCTCTTCATGGGCCGTGAACACCTTTTAAGGTGTTAAATTTTCCCTTAAACACATCTTATGGCTTGAGATAATGTCTAGAACCAACCACCATCGAAGTAGGACCCTTAAACATCAAGGAAACCATGAAACTAGGAGATTACGGCCGTAAACCCCCCAAGGATTGGTCCATGGGCCGTAAACTCCCTTAAGGAGGTCAAATGATGCTCTAACTTCCCCTTATGGCTTGGATTAATGCATAACACTTTGTATTCTTTCATTTAAGACCTTAAAACATGAAGTGAGGAGACAAGTAAGAGTTTACGACCGTAAAATCTATGTTTATAGCCGTAAACTCCCATAAATGGTCTATTTGGGGACTTAGTCATTTCCTATGCCCTAGAATTGAACCTAGCTTAAATCCACAAGTGTTGTAAGACCTTTAATCATCCAAGAACACACCACCCATGAGTTTACGGCCGTAAACTCATGGGGATATGGTCATTGGGCCGAAATCTCCTCAAAGAGTTTAGTCTTGAAGAGTAAACTCCTTAACTAGGCCATATATTCCCTTATTGCAACCCAATAGCCTCCTAGCACTTGACCAAAGTGTTTTTCCGCACATTAGGATGCTTATACGTGTTTAATTAGTGTTATAATCCCTATTTATATGTAAACATATGTCTTCATATGTTATTAGGTCATTAACCGAGCACCCAACCGACACCTCCATCTGATCTACTTACAGCAGGTGAGTTCATACCCCTGAAATAACCTTTTAAATGATTTTAACTGCTTTTATAGGGGGGGGGGATACAAGTTGAACTGTACAATTATTAGATAAATCACATGTGATTAATAACTGTATAGCAAAATTGATTTTTGTATGTTAAACTGTTTTAACCAGCTTAAGATTTCCAAGTCATGTTTTCGAATCTTATTAAAGTATGAATATCCCTTTTTAGATCATTAAAGGTTATCTAAAGTTTTACAAAGTTTGTTTACTAAAGAGACATCCAGTCATAGTTTCTTATTTAAAGGATTTCCAAAGGTTTTCTCCACTTAAACTGTTTTATAAAAATCATTTTCAAAGCTGTTTATGAAAGGTTTTTCAAAAGACTCCCACAGGTTTTCAAAGTTTGTTTTACAAAATGACATCAAGTCGTAAATTCTTATTTGTAAAGGTTGTCCAAAGGTTTACCAAAGTTTCCTTTTATGCTTTTATTTCATTAAATGCATGCCTATATTTGTATAGTTATATAAATAATGTTTAAAGGACTTAGGAAGGCTAGTTCACCCTATTTCCTTTTCCTCGTTGGCATGTGGTCTGGTGGGTATTGGATATCCGTCCGAAGGTCGTTTAAACATTAGTTATCTATCATGTATACATGTATGTACATGAAAGCTCTCTCTCTCTCTCTCTCTCTCAGCCAATTCATCGCCTTGAGTTGTACAAACATCTTTCTATTATTCATGTTTCTGAAACCCTAGTAACTATTATAGGAATAGTTAGGAGACTCTATATCTATATATATATATATATATATATATATATATATATATATATATATATATATATATATATATATATCTCTATCTCTATCTCTATCTCTATCTCTCTCTATCTCTCTCTATCTCTTTTACTTTAGAATGTGACACACTATTTCCCTTTACGACGCTTCATTGCGCCAATGCCGTGTAACCAGAGTCTTCGGGAAGGAGAGCGAACATCATGTGTATAGATCTATACGGGACTGACACTCCCACACCAAGAATACTAGCTACAGTCCGCGCGGTAAGGCCCATGGGTGACATAATGCCACTACCTCTAATGCCACTACCTCTACGCGTGACCTAGAGGGTCATCGGATACTCTATCGTCGATCAGCATGGTTACATACGAGTTCACATTCACCATTTGTTTTAGACTTTGCTAGTTGTATCGTTCACAAGATACTGTCCGGAGTCTGTATTTTCTTGTTTTAGACTTTGCTAGCTGTATCGTTTATTCGATATTGTCTGGAGTCTGTGCTTCCTTTTGTTAGACTGAGCCAGGTGTATCATTCATTCGATACTCTCCTGGAGTCTATGTTTTCTCTTGTTTTAGTCAGTAGTGTTACTGCTGAGGTATATATATTATTTTCCCCTAGTGTTTTCACTTGGGATTTTCTCATTACTCTTTTAAAGTCAATTTTGTATTTGGTAATGATAGTAATTTGAAGAAAACTACTACTTAAAACATAAATCGGTCGGGTCTTGGTAGAAGACTGCTGATATTTAGCAAATATAGGATTTTCTGGAAAGAATGCTAATACACCGTAGATTTTAAACTACTATCTTTCATAAAGTTATTTTGAATAAAAATGAGTATTTATACAAATGACACTAAATACTTATAGACTCACAAGCATTATAAAATATTGATACTCGCTTTCAAAATAACTTGTATTCTCAGGTTAGCGATAAACAGGTACATCTCGGAAGCTTTCGAGAAGACAGCCTAGTACCTAGCTGCATCTATATTATTCCTTGTATTACTTTGATGTTGCTATGAAATGTAAACTATGTAAAATTATTACTATTAATGCAATGGTTGTTGTACTTTGATTACTATACTGCATATGTTGTGATACTTGACATGATGTCATCCACCCCAGAACGTTTCCGTCGTTCCGGTTTTGGGGTGTGACAAAAACAGCCCCAATGCGTCTTGAATGAACCTTTGAGGATGCAAACAAATAGGGTATTTTCACTTGCAACAAAACAGCCCCAATGCAAGTTATACGACCAGTATAATCAACCCAAAAACAATGAGTAAACAACCAATACGAGGCACCGAAATTTTAGTGTAGAAACCTCTAGTGAAACGAGAGACTACTAGAGCTGTAGAGCAGCTTCAAATTCACTATCACTAATATTTGAGCAGTACAAATTCTTCTCTAGATATACTAGAGGCGTATAATAATCATCATATACTTGGAACTAAAAGTATATGAAATCAAATAACAAAGAGAAAGAAATGAATATCACCAAGAATTGATTTCCAGCAGCAAACAGCAGCTGCTATTCCCGAGTCTCCAGAGTAGATATTAACAATTCAACCGTTGGATTTGAAGACCTCGTTGTTAGGAAGCTGCTGTCCAAAAATCAAAGTAAACGAACCGTTGGATCTCCGGGAAATTAAGAAACACCGAAGGCAGGTCTTAAAAAACGGAAATGGAGAAAAACTCCTTTTGCTCTCTGTTTGCTCTCAATTTTGTGCGTAAGGCATTTTGTTCAAAATTAAAGAAAAGGGACCAAGAGAAATATATATGCGGGCTAAATGAGATATGGGATAAAAATAAGTTGGGCTATCTATTCATGCGCTTAAGAAAACCCAACATTTACTACATGTAAATAAAGATACTGATTCTAAGATATTTGGTATAGACCATTTAGAAAATTCTAACTTTCTGTAACTACCATGATAGTATTAGACTATTAGTAATACATTTATAAGTCATGTTTTCTTATTCAATCATCTCTTCAGGTGGTAACTGCTTCTATGTCTTCTACGAGCGGAATATTTGTTGAAACAAAACATTAAACATTAAATTTCATCAAGAGAAGATTGAGAATGTGATTGGTTTCGAATTTCGATGCATATTTACTTTGAGGTTATTGACTATTTGATTGAATTCAATTTTATATTGATGATGTTGTACAATTTGCAGGTGTGAGAAACCAATTAATTCACTTTAA